ACGTGGACGCTGTGCGGAAGTAAAGTTTATTTTGAATTAATTTATAATGTTAAATTTAATTAAAATAAAAGGACGCGGCGTGGTTTACACGCTGCAATCTGCAATCGTTATCGGAGCATCAAAGGAAAAAGGGCGCGATAGCAATCTCAACGGGAGATTTCGCACGAACTCTCTGCTATTTTGGAAACGAGTTGGACACACGGGTGACTGTGGTGATACCGGAATCAATGGCAGCTGGAAAAGCAATCAGTACGTGCTGTAAGTCTTTCAAAGCAAGTGCCGTCACAGAATATATCACAAGCACATAAAGAAGCTTTGCGTATTGCCAAGGAGAAAGGCTTAACTTACATTGACGGGTACTCTTTTTTTCCTCCTCCTCCTCCTCCTTTTCTATTACTCGTTTCCGAGCGTGATGACTTCTCTTCATATACATGTGTTGCGCATGGCACGTAGATGAAGAGAAGTCACCACGCTCGGAAACGAGTAATAGAATAAGGAGGAGGAGGAAAAAAGAGCACCCGTCAATGTAAACCAAGCCTTTCTCGTTAGATTCTCCTTAGATTCTCCACGCATAGATTATACACATTGTGTATATATATATATGTATATGGGACCTACAGTTTAACGCCGATTCCGAACGGCTATATTTTTTAGAGAAGTTCTCTTAGCAACACATACTCTCTCGGTAGTTTGCCATTGCCTTCCGAGAGGAAAACGAGCGAATATAATTTTTCTAGCTCTACCGGAAATCGCGAACCCGGGACCTCTGGCTCAATAGACCAGTGCGCTGTCTACTAGGCCACGCTCGTTTTCAATTATTCTTTCTTCTCTTTTTCTTGCAGAAAACAGAAGACAGCGATATCTCTTTATAATATATAACATAAGAAAATGTCGACTTAACAGATGGAAACTCTTATAGAGAAGGAAAGTAACACAACTTAGGTGCGTATTTTAACATATAAAATATGTCACCAAGTGCCTTTATAAATTATGTTATTTTAACTTCTAGAAACGTTGAATATTAATTTAACGCAGGAAAGTCAAAATAACACAATGACAATATGTTGCATTAACACCAGTGTATGTTAAAAATTTAACACAAAAATTTCTACACGGATAGAAATCCACTTAAATACAAAATGCATTTTACCGTGTATATAATCTTCTTATAAGAATTTCAACTTTTCATTTCAACTCTTTTTTCAATCGAACTAAATAAAACTTCGTTTAACTAAATAAGTGATATTTCAAGCAAGCAAGTTTTCCTCGTTCAATGCAATACAATTTCATTTCAAGATTATATATTCTTGCGTATATACAAGAATACAAGTATATATAGTATATATAGTATTGATTTCTCGATTGATTTGACACTTGTGTTTTTTTTCTGTGTGAGGCATTTTTCACGATTACAGAATTTTATTAACCGTTATGACAATATTAAATAGTAATACATCAGATATATATATATATGACAACTGATATTACAATTATTTACCCGTCGCAATAACGGAATAATAATACCGCAACATCATACGATGCAATAATCATGTTTGTTAATTACTTCATTACAATCTATTTACATAATTATATCGTTCACGTATTATTTGCATATTATTATTATATCGCGTGCATAATTGTAATTATAATTTTATTTGGGGGGTACGCAATCGCGTGGCGCGGCGCGGCGCGCGCTCGCGTTCCAAATTTTTCGCGGGCCGGAAGAAGCGAGCGCGAGAATTCGTCCTGGGAATAATCAATCTTTTGTTTTATCGCGTCGCCCACTTGATCGTCGGCACAATTGAGACATCGCGATTCGAAAATGGATGGATTCTGGATGCTCGCACCCGCATAGATGCCATCGTTGTACCGCGGGAGATGCATCGCCACGATTTCGTATCGTGTATAAAGTCATTGTCATTAGCGCGAGGCAACCGCTCCTCTATCAGTTCACTCGGCTGTATTCAACCGCCCCCGGGAATAGAAACGGGACGAAAATTGGTCCCGATTTTCGATTATAAATTCGGCGTGGAACTTGTTTCGGTTGCACACGTGTGCGAAGAAAACGCTCGCAGCGATATATAATTATAATTAAATCCGTGTCTGGTGTTTTACTTTGTTTGACTTGCACGACTGTCATACGCGTAAAACGCCGGCCGACAGTCAACGTTAATAAATCGTAAGCGAATAAACATCAGCAGAGAGCGCGCGCCGGCAACATTTATCACATATTTATGGCGTATTACAATCGAATAATATTATTACAAATGTTACGTCTGAGTTTACAGATCGCGCAATTAAACGTATACCTGTTCGCCTATCAAATCGCCAGGCAAATTAATTCGCCGACAGATAACGGAAAGAAGCGCGTGACAAATCGTTAACGAACCGACGAGAGAAATAGCGATATTTATCGCGCGAATGAATCCTGCGGGCGAGAGGCCATAATAATTACCACGTAATTGCGATTCGTATCAAAAAGTGACGACTTATACTTTTCGCGAAAATCTCTCTCATTTTTTTTCTCTTCCTCGGTTGATCCCGGAATCTAGATCGCGGAAGTATGCAAACGCTATTTTCGCAATCGCTGCTCGCAATCTTCCTGCCGGCATGGGCAACCCGCGGCGGCACGGCAGTTACCGAGACCATCGAGGGGGAATTTTTCCGTGGGATATCACGGCGGCGCGGCGCCGCCCCGTATAACTATCTCGCTTTTACGCAAGCGGCGGAAGGCGCCTTGTGTGTACTCAGGCTCCACCGTCATATCGCATAAGCCGTAAGGTAGTTTAGTTTGTCGAGAGTTCAGGTACAGGTAATTACCTACTGGCTACCGGCGTCAGGTGGTAGTGACACGGTAGCGTCGACCTCCTCCCTCGTCCTCCTCCTTACTTGCGCGCACCATCTTCTCTCCTACCTCCTCTCTTTCTCTTTCTCACGCGCTCTCTCGGGGTCTCGGCCATGTATTTGCGCGTAGCCACGCAAAAATACTTCGTGACAATCGGCTCCATTAGCTTAATGGGACCGTCCCTCCTGTCGATAGATTGACCGTCTTATCTGATAGTCCCCACGTGCGTTATGAACGCAAAGTTCGGGCTTCGCATTAATAATTCGGCGTCTCGTCCGATGTTGCTTAAAATCTGAAAGTTATTTCAACGGTAGTTGCGAGAAGCGTGTTGCGAGTTTTCAGGTAAGCCAATAATTGGATGCAAAAAGCAATTTATAATCTATAAATCCGATAGACTGTGTTAGATTAATTACTATCGATTAGTAAACATGTGTTGTCGTGTTAGGTTATAGCCGTACATTGTAGATTGTTTTATGGGATACCTGCGGCTCTTTAATTATGAGCGTGTCATGGAACGGTGTATAAATATTGCGTAGAAAAAGTTCTTTAATGTGCGAATTTATTATGGTAATAATGCTTTACTGCATATGGATACCTATAATATAATATGGATTATATTTCATTCAATCTCATTTTGATAACGCCATCATGTCATTGGCAACGAGACAGGAGACAAGAAGAACATGAATATGAATGACAATTGTTCCCGAGAACGGCGCGGAAGAACTTAATATAAATTACGTTTCAAACTATTTTCCATTTTTTAAATAACTTTGCGGTCTCTCTGACATTGTTCCTGGCATTTTTAATTTTTGTAACTCTTTTCATTATTCCATTTTTCATGATATTTTCATAAAACTCATTTCGTCTACTAAACATAAAAATATTTTCTTGTTATCTGTTCCTAAGATTTTCTTGTTATCTGTGTTAAACGTAATTAATAAATAAACAATGAATTGGGATTAAAAATTTCGTTTAAATTAGGATTTGGAATTTCGTCTTCGTACGCGAACGAAATTTGAGCATAAATAATCTTCGTTCACGTGTATTGCCTATGATTCCGCGACAGTCGGTCGGCTGATCAATCGCGATGAAGTAACTCGCCGATGTGCAGCGAAAGGGCCGCCCTCGCGCAGAGTTTGCTGTCGATCGACGTTGTTATGAGCCGCGTTACGGAGACTAGCGCCTGATGTAACGTTTCGTTATCGGCATACTCGGCATGCTCCCGTCGTTTTCGCCACGCATGCCGCAGGCGTTCCACGAGAGATAACGCGCCGTGCGCGCACAGAACGGGGACAAGACAAGGTAGATGACACGGCCCGTAATTGCATGTTATCCGTTGCATCCACGCGCGCGCGCGCGCGGGCGTGTCCGCGTTCCTGGGCGTGCATATACGCGTGTATACACAACAACGGTACGGCGTTGCATACTACGTGCGCAAGTATAATATGCACGCGGAACGTATGCATGTGCGTTTGTGCGGAAGAGGGTGTTTGCGCTACCGGATCCGGCTCGGCTGCCCGTTCCACGTGCCCTCGGTGCTTGACGTACCACGGATACGCCGACACAAAGGACGTTTGTGGCGGCGCCGTGCTTTCCCGAGCTTGGGATCTCTTTCCGTGTTTCAAATGTAAATAACGCTTGCGCTCCGCGGCTTTATCGAATGACCCGTCCGCGTCGGTGGAATCGCGTGGATCAAGTTGCGCGGTGAAATATAGCCTTCGTATTCGGTATCAGCCGAAGCATGGCAATTTTTGCATCGATGAGACGTTGTAAACTTTTTATCTGCTAATATTTCAAATAAGCTTCAGAAACGTTTCGATTAAAAATTCATACGATAGTGTGTTCTTGGTCTACTAAAGGTTTATATAATTTGTTACACATATAAAATCTTTTAGTACATTTATAATTGTAATAAGTTAATAAATAGATATTTTATATAGCTAATTAAGCTTTTAATTAGCCATATAAATCTTTCAGTTAAGACTTTACAGGTAAATAAATACAAAAAATTAGGTTTTGTAAATCGATTTGAGCTCAGAATATATAAAATCTATCTTCAGACTCATTGTGAGAGTTAATTAGATTTTGAGTGTCAATGCGAATATTCCTAAAAAATAAATTACTCAAAGGTCACAACTGATTCTCATTGCAGCATCCTCCGCAACGCGGGAGAAGCCTTCGCGGGAAGAAGCGATTCAGCCTGAGGCGCACTCGCCTTCCTCTCAGCAGCATCAAAGGATCGGCCAGCAGAAGCAAACGAACGGCCCTCGATCGGAGTACAAAGGCGCGTCCGGTTGCTCGAGATCTTCTGACAACGACAGCCCTTTGCCCTCGCAGCCGCTCAAGCCCGAGCTCGAGGAGGGCGCTCCAGGTGCTGGAGCGAATGCTGGGCCCAGGGCGACGGACGAGCAGGGCGACGGCAACGCGCTGGCGAACGGCACCGCCGCCGGTGCATCCAGATGTGTCAGCGGTATCTTCGCGGGACACGGCAAGCTCAAGAGGTTGCTGGGCACTCTCGTGCAATTCGCCACCGATATCTCGGTAGACACGGGTGACACAGTGCGCACATTGGTACTCGCGCTTTTGGTAAGTAAACGGCATCCTCATTTGCAGCGGTTTTAATTGTAAAATTTCATTTAATTTTATTATTTATTTAATATAATTACGATTAATTTAATGTAATACTTTTTTCAACGCAGAAATGTTAATGTTCTTTACAAGTGTTAAGAATATTGAGTCAATAATCATGCGTAACGCATAATCAGGATTAAATGATTAATGCTGATTTTTTATTTGTTTATTTATTTTTTATCTACTATCGACATTTTAGTAAATTTTATTGGCACTCGTTACAATTTACACATGAACCGTTAGCTCATATAGCAATCTTTGTTAGCGTTGTTCACCACGTAGTTCGCATCTTCGAGTATCCTCTTGCGCATGCAAGACCTTTCCGGATTTACGAATTCTTTCACAGTACCAACAATAAGTGATATACGCGTACCAGCTGACGCGTACTTTCTGTCACGTGCTGAAATCACATTTGCAATATGCATCAGCGTACTTTCGCGTTAGATGTATCCGTATAGTTAATTTTGTTATCGATGAAAATTTTATCGTGGCAAACTTGAAGCTGGTAACGCCATCGTTGTGAAAAATATAATGATAACTTTTTTTGTTTACGCAGCATTTCATCAGTTACATTTTGGCAATGATAACTCGTCATGAAAATTCGTGGTCCGATTGCTGACTAACAAGCGTCAGATAACGATTCCGCGATGTGCATGTGCAATGCGTGCACGCGGCACACGGGATGAAAAAAAGCATAGTTAATCGATGACGGCCGTACCGTGTCGTTAAACAGCTCGTAAATATTCAAAGTACGTACATAATGCATAATGTCGTCGTGTGTACCGAGCGTGCATACGTCCCCGGAAACGTGACATCTGGTGACCGTGCTTAACTGTAAAACGATCGCGGCACGTGACAAACGCAAAACCAAATCCAACCGAAGCCGGGCGAGCGCGCGCGCGCGCGCGCGCAGCAACTCGTTCCGGAAACGCGCGTTTCGCTACGGGATCCGATCTTTTTGCCGTGAGGATTGAATTACACGCGGCGCCTGCCGTGTCGTTAATTGCAGAGCGGCAGCATGACCGCGGAGGAGTTTCACTCGGCGTTGCAGGAGGCGACCAACTTCCCGCTCAGAAGCTTCGTCTTGCCGTACCTCAAGCACACCCTGCCCTCCCTGCAGAGGGACCTGAGTAACGCGGCCAGGGCGAATAATCAGGTAAAATCGATTTACCTACGTTTTTACGTTTTCTGCGTTTCTAGCTGAACGAAAATTTATTTTCGCACGTAATAATGAATAAAAATCCAGTCACGAGAAAAACTACGCTTGCATCACGCAATATCGTTTTTTTCAGGTATAATTCAACAATTATTATTATTATTATTTTATCAATCTACCGCATTACAATGCGCTTTCTCGAGGCAGCTCTTCAACAGCCTGCACTTTTAAATTTTGATTAATGCTCGCGAGTAAGAGGAAAAAAAGTATCCATATGAGTTTCTCTAGATTCGGCGAAGTCACAAGACTGCAATGAGAATAACGGTGACGGCTGATTCATAAGCAGTCCCGATGCTTTATTGGAGCCACCACGGCGGTCATAAATCACTGCACTCGTGTGCAACGCGGCGCGGCGCGGCGCGTAACGATGCATGAAGACGCGCGTTCTCCGCGCCGCGCAAAAATCGCTTCCTCGCGGCCGGGATCTGTCACAATCAGAATAAGTTGGTGTGTACATGTCGGATATATCGAAATTAAACACGGATGTCCTAATTTTTTTCTAATCAACGTCGAGAAATTTCAGTTAACATCTGCACTCTGACTTTTCAAATACAGATAATTGCAGATAAAATAACACTGTGTTAAAATAATAAATTTTGACACACATCCATAGTGGAAAAATGTCTCATATTTTCTCAGAAATTTTGTAAGGACTTATAAAAAATCCTGAAAAAATATATGAAATTTCTCAAATACTTTCAGAAATAATTGAATGGGAACATTTTAGTATTATTTGTACGATAATTTCTGATAAATTGCACAGATTTTCCCATATTTATTCAGTTTTCTACAAAAATGTGTTGGAGGGAGAAAAATCTGAAATATTTTATTATAATATTTTGTCTTAAGTTTTTCTGGAAAATGGTTCAAGTCATAAAAAAGAACTAAATAATTTTGAGCATTCTAAGAAAGTCTGAAAATTGTTATAGAAATTCTGATTAATAATATGAAAAATTCTGAGTCATTTTTCCACCAGGGATTTCAAATTTTATTCTTCAACATTTAATATTTAATATTAAGAGCAGTATGTGATTTTTTATCACGCTCTCCGAGGGGAATATCACAACGAAAAATAAGGGAGAGACGAACAGATCCCGCGCGACATTACGCCGCCGCTCTAAATGGCGGATCAATGTCGCACGTGGCCGGCTCGCCTTCCAAGAGAGCGCGGTCGCGATCTTGAGCAAGGGAAGATCACCGTCCGCAGCGTTTGTCATGCTGGGACCGGCCCGTGCCCTCTCGAAGATGCCACACCGTCGCACGTGCCTGATGTCTCTCTCTCACTCTCACCCTCTTTCTTTATCGTGCTCGGGTCGCGCGCCCGCCCATAAATTTGTATGCACTACTGCGCTCGGGCAAGTGCAACCGCGCCCCCGAATCCCTTCACGCGTTCGTTCCCCTCCGCTACATTGTGGCCAGTAAGTGGAACCACAAAGTATGCCGTTCAAGATAATAGACGAGTCACCGCGGACTCATGCAAAGGGATGTACTTTTATTTCCTTGCTTCCTCTATATTCTTGAAGGAGAAGAAAAATAGCTCTCCTTCCTTTTCTTCAAAGCCTGCGGAATAAATTATCGTGAATATTAATGGCGAATGTTGTTTAAATATAAATTTTACAGTGTTTTTTCTCCTCAGAATAAGTTGATTAATTTCAATAAAGGAATTTAGATATTCGATTAAAACTTTGTAAATTTCGGCGATACGTTCATTTACGTTAAATTTTTAATTTTTTTCATAAAAATCACTGTAGATTGAAATAATGTTATTTCGAAATGTCACGTAAGACCGGTTCTACATTGGTCGTATCGTAATAACATAATTCATAAGAAATTGATCAATTACAGTCGAATTTGAGGAGAATAATCAACTGTGATTGGTCAATTTCTTATATACGATTTATATATGCTACGATACAACCAATGTAGAACCGGGATAACGTAGCGCTTGCGATTCAAACTTCGTTCGTATCTCGTAATAAAGTAATGATTAATTATTCATTAGTTAAATTTTAAACCAAGCTCTAAAGCGGCTGGTACGTCAGATGTCAGTTTCCCAGATTATAAAATTCATTTTCCAAACCAGCGACCACACGGCAGTGCATCCGCCGCTTTATTTCTTTGTGCGGCGCGCCAACTTTTAGCTTTCAATTGTGAAACAATTATATTACAACGACGATTCAAGAATTATACGAAACGTTACATATATAACTTTGAAATTATAGCTAGCAGCGATATTTTCATTTCATCAATCGGGAACTGTATCGTCAAATATCGTTCAACGATTGTATAATGCAAGAATTACAGGCGGCGGCGGCAGGCGGCGAGAAAAATCGATTTTAAATACATCCCGGAATCTGCGTGAGAAATTGCGTGTCAGGTCCGGGGGACACTCCGTATAACGAACGCGACGCGGTAGCGCGGGAGGACACGGTAAAATCAACAGAGGCAAGGCTGACCGGCTGGCAGGTTGTTTTAATTTCCCAGGCTACTTTCCGATCGTCGGTGGGAGCATGCCAGTCTGTTGATGGATGAACGACTCGGGTATGTAACGAGATGGGGGGGGGAGGGAGGGAGAGAGAGAGAGAGAGAGAGAGAGAGAGAGAGAGAGAGAGAG